CTCAGATAAGCGTAAAGCTTTCTAACTGGCGGATTAAGCCATAAGGTGTGGCCGGAGCAATCAAGCAACAGAAATTGACGCGATTCTGATCCAAAAGAATTACATACGGCGGTGATGCACGACGGCATCACCGCCGTCGTCACTTGCACAAGCGTCAAACGTAATCGACCAAACGTAATCGACCACCTGACGGCTGCTTAGGTGTCTGTTCGATTAGGGTGGGAACCCTGAAAGAGTGTCAATCCTTAATTAGGAAACACTTATTAATCTCAAGGTTTTCATAGACTGTTCATAGATCAGTCTTAATCAAACCATGCCCTCATCGCAACATGCAACCCCTCTCATCTCAGACTCCACATTCGATGACAAAACTGAAATTGTTGTTGCCCTGCATGGCCTGCCAGACACCCCTGCCTCAACAACCACCCTTGCCTCACCAACTACAAACATGCAAACTAGATTTGTACACAATCTAAACCCTCTCAGGTGGAACAAGTGAGTTGCAGCTGCGGCTGTTTTTTTATAGGGCTAAAAACAAGCACTTCTTAAGAATACAGTTCAAGTACTGTGTCATGCTGCCTTGCAGCATCAGACCCCTGTACACTGAAGCACCCTGTCCCTTCAGATGTCAGGCCATGTCTAATCTACCTACACATCCATAAGTACTCAAGCTGATGACTTCTGAGTGCATTGCAGTCCAGGTACGTTGTGTTGTACGATGTACACTCATGCAAGCTTGTGAGTGCATAGTGCATAGGAGTTCAGGCTAGTTGTATTGTCCTCATTCCATGTGTACTAATGCAAACTGCACCCCCATCAGTTGCTTTTGCAGCTCCTCGCGGACGCTCTTCTCGACGTCCGCCTTGAGAGGCTTGAAAAATTGCAATTGTATGATTGTATCTTGTCTCGCGGCCGTAGCGAGGTATCGGCGCGGCAAGCTGGCCACCGAGAAAAGGCAGTTGTGCCACAATGAATTGTAAATTTTAAGTACCTTTAAGGTTTCACTAATCTTCGTAAGCAGAATGTGCCCTAGAGTGCGACAGGGGTCAGTCAACAAGGTTGCTGCGGCAAGAGCTTGGAGCTCTATGAGCTGAGGCTGGCTTTAGGTCGAGGAAATATCGTTTAGAAGAGCTTGATGAGCTGGGGAAGGTGGAAGAATGCCATGGCCGTACCATCATCTGCTGCCATTTCTCCTAAAGCTTTATGTAGAATTCTTCCAAACTTTGAGCAGCCATACATACAGCGCAATTCCAAAAGG